GCATATTCTCGTACGCCTTACTTCCGGGGTCTAGAGAATGAGGGCGCGGTCCTTCCAGGGGTCCGCAACATAGGTAAGGCCCTGTGATGTCGTCCTGAACTTTATTTGCGTTTTGTTTGTATTATATTTCCAAAAGGGAAGACAGACCTGGGGCCACTCGTGCACATCTCTAGTGTGCATAAGGCATGTTGAAAATAGGAGGTATTGCCAGCCCCTCCTGCGTGCCACCTACAATGGCGGACCACATATGGGTCTTCAATGGTTGGATCCACATAGTTATGAGGTCACATCCTTTCTTTTTCGATTCTTTGAATCCTTTACGGAGGGGAATTCCAGCGGCGATTATCAGCCTTCTCACCTTACGGAGCTCGTTACCGAGCCACTTCACTAAGTGCCATCCGTCATAGTAATGACGGATGGCACCGATTTCAGGCTCCATTTTCCTCAAGAGAGCACCAAAAGATCTGCTCCTATCTGTCGTCAACGATGCCACATAGAAACCATTGGATTTCAACCAAAGAAGCAGCCTCTGAAGCCCTTCTACCTCCATCCTTCCGCTAACACCCCCTAAAGAAGATGTTTCAAACGCATCAGCTGTTGTGTACATACCAGGTACACACCTGTAAAACTTCGGTGTGGAGTACAAGTTTCGTACGAGTGTCAGCCAAAACTACCTTCCCTATGAGAGCCGAATACCCTCGGCTGTCATATGCCCCATCTGCTGCTAAGTGAAGCCCCATACCCTTCTAAACTCATAAAAGATTACTGCTCGTTTCCTACAGAGATATTGTTAACACACTCAATTCACCCCATAACATCCGCGGACGATATCCATGACCACACGTTGTTGAGAGTTGACATGCTCTATTGCAGGCTTTGTCCATTCAAACACCTTTCTTGAAAAAGATCTTGAAAAAAAACGCCAAATTCAACTCCTTCGCCCATCGTTCAAGCTCCTGAATAGATACTTGTCTACTGAGAGTGGTTACTCCACAAAAACAAGAAACACAACTCACAACGTATCGCATTCCCGTTGTGATAGCAGCGACTGACGCAGCAACGTTTCCTTGATGTGTCCGCTCTTTCCTGTGCGGGACCGTTCTTTCTTGACTCTCCCAGCGCTGCACACGGGACGGACATGTGGAGCAGTCTTTACATGCGAATCTCACAACAGCAGCGGTCCCGACTGCGACTAGCTCTGATGCTTTTAACTGCTGTCCACATGCAGGGCAGAAACGAAAGAGCTGCATTAGTTGCTTTCCTTTTACAAGGTAATACTGCTCCTAACGCTTCTGGCACAGTCTCCTTAAGAGGTGCATCCAAGCCCGAGTCAGACGTCGACGAGTCTTCCAACGCATCCTCATCACTATCCGACTCCTCCAAGCTCTGCAAGTGCACTACATTCAGGTTCAACTTCATGGTCTCGCCTCCTGAACCAACCATAACAGAAACATCACTGGCCAACTCCTCCTCTTCCTGTTCACCCGCAGAATACTCATATTGCATACTAGCACCAAGGAATTCTGACCAAGCACCAGGCTCCTCACAACTTCTTTCATCATGCCCACTAATTTCGGCCTAAATGATAGCTGTTAGTCAGTTCCATGACTGGTTCGTC